CCTAGCAACAGCCAACCCAGTGACAGCACAGAAGGCCCGCCTAGCAACATCTAATCCAGTGACATCATAGAAGGCCACTTCACCTAGCAACACCTTTTGTAATATAGCCATGCATACTTTGACATACTTGTGTGTGTATACACAAACACATTGTGAGGTAAAACAAAGTGTGTGTGTTTGTGTGCATGCTAGCTATGACAAGAAATGAGCCAAGAATCAAAAAGTTTGGCTAACTAGCTAATGCCAACATGGCACCTTCAATAACTGCTAATTGGCAAAATAGTTTGAAAAGCGAAGGACAGATTGGGAAGAGGCGCTGACAAGCCTCTCTCTTCTTTGTTGTCAATCAAACATTAAAAACACATTTTGTCATCGACAAGCTGTTCACAATTAATGGCTCCATCACCTCTTCCACAGGAAGGCAGTGAAAAGGAGTTTGCCAACTGCTCATTCTCTCCATTTCTTCCTTCTTGTATCAAACAGCTAATGAACACCTGACATCTTTGCCCAATAATCAAATCAAATCAAATATAGCTGTGTCATATGTACACACATACACTGTCTTTGCCGATTTTGCAGTTAATTTTGAACAAGGCCTCACAAAAGAGTCTGATTTGCTTTCAGGCTCATTGAGTTCTCTCAGAAAGACAAACATGAGGCCTCGTTTAAGACAGATTGTGGCCACTTCCATCTTAATGGCCTTCATCTCAACTTCAAAAGAGATCTTAAAGTGCATCTACACCAGACAAGGGCCAACTTCGGCCTTTAAGGTGTTTTGGACTTCAACTCCCACAATTCCTAACAGCCTCAGGCCCCTTCCTTTCCCCCCTCAGCCGCTTAAGGAGGGCCCAAGGTTGTCCATGTCTGATCTACAGTGTAGAATGAATGCAGTTCTGAGGAGAATTTCTGAGGAATTTTTGAGCGAGAAAGGGTATTTCATACCCAGTCTCCATGTTCTGAGGAGAAAAATTAGAATAAATACAACGAATGCTAGCATGACGTGTAACAAATCCAAAAAACTCTGTCTAAACGCCCAAAAGAGGACTCAGGGATGTTTACAACGTCAGCAATTCGATGCCGACAGCATGCAACACATAGAATCATAGAGTTGGAAGAGACCTCATGGGCCATCCAGTCCAACCCCATTTTGCCAAGAAGCAGGAAAATTGCATTCAAATCACCCCTGACAGATGGCCATCCAGCCTCTATTTAAAAGCTTCCAAAGAAGGAGCCTCCACCTCACTCCGGGGCAGAGAGTTCCACTGATGAACAGCTCTCACAGTCGGGAAGTTCTTCCTAATGTTCAGATGGAATCTCCTTTCTTGTAGTTCGAAGCCATTGTTCCGCGTCCTAGTCTCCAGGGAAGCAGAACACAAGCTTGCTCCCTCCTCCCTATGACTTCCTCTCACATATTTATACATGGCTACCATATCTCCTCTCAGCCTTCTCTTCTTCAGGCTAAACATGCCCAGCTCCTTAAGCCGCTCCTCATAGGGCTTGTTCTCCAGACCCTTGATCATTTTAGTCGCCCTCCTCTGGACACATTCCAGCTTGTCAATATCTCTCTTGAATTGTGGTGCCCAGAATTGGACACAATATTCCAGGTGTGGTCTAACCAAAGCAGAATAGAGCATGGGGAGCAGGACTTCCCTAGATCTAGACACTATGCTCCTCTTGATGCAGGCCAAAATCCCATTGGCTTTTTTTGTCACCGCATCACATTGTTGGCTCATGTTTAACTTGTTGTCCACGAGGACTCCAAGGTCTTTTTCACACGTACTGCTCTCGAGCTAGGCATTGTCCCCCATTCTGTATCTTTGCATTTCATTTTTATTGCCTAAATGGAGTATCTTGCATTTGTCACTGTTGAACTTCACTGTGTTAATTTTGGCTAATCTTCTCTCTAACTTGTTAAGATCATTTTGAATCCTGCTCCTGTCTTCTGGAGTCTTGGCTCTCCCTCCCAATTTGGTCCCATCTGCAAACTTGATGATCCTGCCTTCTAACCCTTCATCTAAGTCATTAATAAAGATGT